TGTGTGTGTGTGTGTGTGTGTGTGTGGGAGAGGCAACGAAGAAAACATCAAGTGAAGAAAAAAAACGTATAGCCGTGGGAGAGAGAAAAAGTGGAGGAGCGAAAATATAATAATAAAATGAAAACGAGGACGAACATTTTTATGTTGCTGCAGTCTGAAAGGAACAACAACAAAAAACTCCCCCCATTCCCTTCTCACCCTTCACTCCCCGTTACCTTCCACTAGCAACGGTTTTCGCTTTGCCTCGTGCAAAAACCTTCTCTCCCGAAGTCATTGACGCTTCTTTGTTGCTGCGAAAATGATTCCCCTGCATGGCGGCGGGGTCCCAGGCTTTTGGGAGAGCATTTGGATTATTTATTGAAAAATTGTGTGTGAAAAACTGTGGCATAAATGTGATACGGCAAGTACCTTGAAATGAGAAAGAAACAAAAATATACAAAAAAAAAATGCCTACATGCCGCACTGCCACGCACATACAAAAAAAATTGTTCATTAATCATTGAACGGTCCGATTGACATTTGCAGGGACACGCGGGCAAAAGGTTGCAAAAAGGAGAACGGACTTTATCGCGTAATTCGAGCATGATGCTTGAACAGAGCAACAAGCGAAAAAAGATGCAATAAATATTTGTAGATGTGCTGGCATGCAGCGAGTTTTAATTTCAATTTTTAATTGCAGACTAAAAGGAGCAGCTGGAGCAGCAGGAGCAGCAGGAGCAGCAGAGGTGGGAGCGTTACGGCCTCATCATGCAGCCGCAGCAGTACTGCCTGCGCTGGAAGTATCATCATAGCAACTTGCAGATGATGTTCTCGCAGCTGCTGGATCGTGGCTGCTTCTGCGATGTGACACTGGCCTGCGAGGGGCAAATGATACGCGCCCATCGTGTGGTGCTGTGCGCCTGCAGCACCTTCTTTGACTCGGTGCTGACGAGCTATGCCAGCGAGCGGGATCCGATTATTATAATGAAGGATGTGACCTTTGCCGAGGTCAAGTGCCTCATCGAGTTCATGTACAAGGGGGAGATCAATGTGGAGCACGTGAGTGTAGTGAGAGTGACCCTCTCATGCCCAACAGACTTCATTTGCTTTCCCCTTTTAGGCCAGCCTCCCGTCGCTGCTGCGGACTGCCGATGAGCTGAAGATCAAGGGTCTGGCCGAGGTGAGTTGGCGCGACGATGAGGATGGTCCACCGCCGCCCATACCAGCGGCCGTGTTCCTGTCACCGCCACGCAGCCTGGCCGAGAGCTACGCCCAGGACATGCTGCATCACCAGCAACAGCAGCAGCAGCAGCAGCAGGCAGCACCGCAGGCAACGCTGCAAACAGAGCGGGATCTTCACGATCGGGAGCCCTCCATGGAGAGTGTGCTTGGCCGTATGCCCACGAAGACACCACAACCAGGAACAGGAACAGGAGCTGGAACAGGAGCTGGAGCCAGTAGCGAGCTGCAGGCGGCCGTTGCACCCGTGGAACACTTTATGGGACCAAAACGCAAACGGGGACGTCCCCCACTGGACGATGCCTACGATGTATTCAATGTGTAAGCACTCACAGGGAGTTCCCCTGCTCCCCGTCACTCCTTCTAATGTGACTCCTTCCACCCCCCCTTAGCCGCAAGCTGGCCCACTATGCTGCCAGCCTGGAGCCCGCCCAGCGAGCATATTTGGAGTCTGGCCGCCACTTTGCCGAAGAGCCGTTCCAGCAGATTGCTCCACATTCCAGCACGTTGGCCTCCCTGCCCGCCTCCATCACCACCTCGAGCCTGCTGCCCAAGCAGCGCCAGCGACATCGCCATCACCAGCAGCAGCAGCAGCAGCAGCAGCAGCAGACGCAGCAGCTACAGGCAGGCGCCTCTGAGCAGGACTCGGATGCAGCTGATGGCAGGGCCAATGGCTTGCAGCGTGGCAGCTCCACGCCCAAGCCCAGCGATGGCAGCGAGGCAGCCGCCAAGCAAGTGCTCGAGGCAAGGAATGATCAAGTGGATCACCAGGTGCTGGGCACCTCCACCAAAAAGCTGGAGAAGATAAGCGAGCGGAGGGAGCGTCATGGCAAGCTGCGCCATGCACGCCGCCACTATGTGGGAGGAGAGCCGGAGAAGCCCTCCGAGAAGCGTCACTCTGAGGAATCATCGTCACAGCGGCAGAGTGGGGCCAGTGGCCTGCCGCAGCCCGTGGAAGAGATTGAGAACGAGCATCTGGTGGCCAATCGGGCAGAGTCGCCGGCCGCCCGCTGCCCCTCGGCGCTGGTGCCAGCCAGCTTCAGTCGCAAGTACGAATCGGGTGTGGGTGTGGGTGGCGCCGCAGCTGGAGCGTCCACGGGTGCTGGCCCCGGCACTGGCGGCTATTTGATCAACGAGCATGGCCTGCTGATGCCTCACGAATTCTCACCGAATGTGGCCAGTGCCGCAGCGGCCGCTGTGGCCGCCAGTGCCAGTGCCAGTGCCAATGCCAGCAATGGAAATCACAGCCAGGTCGGTGAGCAGGGGGAACTGGAGGATTACGACGCGGCCGAGCTGCGTCTGACCAACGAGGAGCTTTCGGAGTGGCAGGACGTGATCAAGATGGACGACTACTTGGCCAAGGGCCGTCGCCCGCAGTTCTGGGAGGAGCCATTCACCAAGCGCGTAAGTCTGCCATTACCTTAGCCATGAACTGTGTGAACTGAGTGCCATCTTCCAGGTGCTGGATGCCATCAAGAACAAGAGACTCGAGATGAAGAAGGCTGCCCGCATTCTGGGCGTTTCCTATGGCACACTGTACGGGCGCTACCGTGAGGTGTATGGCTGCCTCAAGCATCCCTACAGGTGAGCAGACGCCCACCACCAACTCCAACTCCACCTCCACCACCAGCCATGTCATCCTAGTTCGGCTCTCCTCTCCACTCTTCCACACAGCTTCACGAATTTTCGTAACTTTGGGCCGTCGCCATCGGTCGCTGGCGGCCCGCTGGCCGTTGGTCAGCCACGCTTTGATCTGAATCTACGCCCCGGGGCCGCACAGCCCTCACAGCTGGGTGGTAAGTAGTGAATGAATCGGTGGACACTCCCAGCACCCACTCATACAGATTGCTGTACTTATTTTGCAGAACTGGGGAAGCTAAAGAAGGATCTGAGCGAGCTCTGGACCCGACCACAGATTTGAGAACCAATCAAAAAATCCCGAAATCTCAAGCGCCGCCACAGGCCTATTTAGGAGAGGGACAAACAGAGATGCAGACAAAAGACACACCAAGAAATGATACCCGAAAAAGTGGATCATGAGGCTAGCTAAAGCACACGAAGAACAAGCGGGAGATGAAACCTTTCCAAAAGAATTTCCCACGATAATTTAATTTTTTTTTTTTAATTTTTTGCCTTCGTGCTAAAACAGATTTAATATGTCTGCTAGGGGGGGAATTTTAATTTAATATAATAAATAATAATAATGAAAATATATTGAAATATATACACACACACACACACGCACCCATACATGCACACACATGTAAATGTATGTATGTGTGCTGCATATTAGCTAATGTAAAAAGTACAGGCAGAGCAGTTAGCTGTACGTAGATAACGGTATTAATCAGCATTCAATGTGAAGTGCAAGAGAGTTTTTTTCTTTCTTTTTTTGGTAGTGCAATTTCCGATACAATACGAAAAACCTATGAAATCTAGTTAATCATTAAATAACTGTAATAATGTAACTGTAATGACAGCATCCGGGGAATCCGCAAGCAGTATGGACAATTTTTTGTATATGTTAAACAAACACAGAAAACATAACAAAAAACAACAAACAATATGTATTACATACAAAAGAATATGTTTGAAACGAAATATAAATTAACATCAATTTAAATCATTTCATTTACTTTCGGAAATGCCCGCAACAAAACTAGACGACCGTTATTTGTTAACAGAAATGTGCTTATAACAGCTAACAGCTATTAGCTGAACAGGCAACTGACTATCGCCTATCGCACATAAGTATCATTCAGCGATGGCCAACACAAACGATACTTACTCTATCGAAATGGTAAGCTGCAAAAGAACACGCAAGGAATATATTATGTCTATATTATAAGTCCTATTAGAAACCACTAATAGATTTCTACATTAATGCTTTAAATGAAATATTTTCATGTTTAGTTTTACCGCGCAATCATATCAATAGCAATCAATAATGGTGGGCAGTAGCAATCGATGTTCGGGTTCAATACTCAACAATCGATAGCAATCGAAAGCGCTATTTTCAAAACCATTTCTAGATTTAAAGATATTTTAAGATTAACATTCGTTGCATTCAGTAGGAGACTGCAATTGGTTTGCATTCAGGAAATGAGGGAGCAAGAGCAGCAAACACAATGCTGGATAACGTAGAGGGAAATCGCAGGGGAATGGTTTCTACAGCTACAATACCGAGCTTCCCGTTGCAGTGGCAGAAGGAAAACTATGCTTACATTTGGGTACCAAAATAGTAACTATATTCGCTGCACCCCTGTGCACCTTTAAGGCTATTTGTGGAGGCCACCAGATGGTGTGTCATCTAGATGCATTGCTTATGGATTGTTATCTATGATATTAACTTTATAGACCAATATTCTTTTGAATTCTCTTGGCTTGAATAGAACTTTTATCGCCTCCAGCCGATCGCAAGACAGGCCATAACTATAGGGGTTGGGCGGGCGAAAACCCAATCTTACTCACCCATAAACGATTAGTCACTGTGGGGACTGGCTTAGACCGTGGACATGTTTTTCTATTATATCCTATTCGCCAGAGCCCCGAACACGTATAAATGTCTAGGACTGTGTGTGTGTGGGTGTGTTGTGTTGTTGCCATCGAAATTAAATGAGAATTTTGCTTTGATTTTGACTGGGGGTTTGTTTATGACGCCCGATCGAGCGGTTGTCGATGGGCTGCTACGGGCTTTGGCAACAATCAATTTACGCACAGTTTTTGATAAGATAAACCCGGGGAGCAACCATACTCCGCAGCACGGTACTCAGTACTCAGTACCCAGTGCTCTTCTATAGTTCTAGGTATTCTGTCTGATTTTGAAGTAGCCTTGCCTAGCCGGGTCCGGGCTCATTGCAGTCGCTCGATTCACGAAATTCGGTCGATAATTTCGGCTAATTCGCAGTTTTGCTCCGCAGCGAGGAGGACGATCCACTCACGATCCGCTGCACTCCTTTCAACAATTATTGTTTGTTGTTTTTTTTTAGTTAATTTTGTTCTGTTTTTGTTGTGTTAAAAGTTAATAGTTAATGAATATGCATCCGTTATGGTTCAGTGCCATGGCGGCGACGCTGGTAACGCTTCTTGGCCACACGATTGCCTCCACTGAAAGTGAGTCACGGAGTTTATTATTATTTTTTCCCCTCACCTTATCAATCTCTGATAGTGGGTCTCGATATTTGGTCTCGAGCTCCGGCTCGGGCTCCATTGATGATTTTGTGCTGGAAAGTTAGAAAAACTGATATCAAAATGTGTGTGTGTGCAAAAAACAAAGTGAAGGTTGCCCTTGTGTGGTACTTGGAAATGTTACAAAAAATAAAATATAACCAGCTCTCAACAATCTTCTAGGGATAGATAGTGGAACAATATTCCAGCTTTAGCTGCTTGCCATGTGTATATATAGATATCTACTATATGTATTCTATTTCGAGCAACAATTAATCGAAACGAGTGAAGTTCCCCTTTTTTTTGTATTCCTCTCCAGTAATCACTTCCTTCTCTCGCTTCATTTGCAGACAGCAACTCCACGCTAGTCCTCCAGCCAAAGGTTGTCGGTGGCACGGGCGTCGACATTAGTGTGGCACCGTACACGGTCTCCGTACGTTTGACGTCCCGGGATCGTCGCAAGTACGGATCGGGCCACATGTGCGGCGGTGTGCTCATCTCCCAGCGCCTGGTGGCCACGGCCGCCCACTGTTGCTACAAGTAGGTTCAGGGCACACGTCCGTCCGCGTGGGTGTGCAGCTCCTCTAATGACATCCTAATTGCAGCTCAGACACCAAAGAATATCGTGCGGCCGGCGAGTACGTGCTGGTCATGGGCAGCACCTATCTGTCGAGCAAAACCAACGAGACGCTGGCGTACTATGTGCAGCAGCTGATCGTTCACAGCAGCTACGACCACGGCACGCTGACCAACGACATTGCGCTGATGTTCATCAATGGCTACGTGCCGTGGACATGGCCGACAGCCAAGGCTCTGCCACTCAACGATCAGTCCCTGGCTGTGGCCACTGCGTGCGTCATCACCGGCTGGGGCGTTCGCATTTCCGTGGGTTGACTACAATCATCGCCGAGTTGTGTGCATTTTTCATTATAGAATTCTTTCATTGCAGGGCGGCTCTAGCAGCGATGCGCTGCAGACGGCCACCGTGCCAACGGTCAGCTATCCGACCTGCTACCTGGCCTACCCCCCCTACGTGCCGAGGTCCCAGATCTGCGCAGGGTACACGAGCGGCGGCGTTGATGCGTGCCAGGGCGACTCCGGGGGACCGCTGATGTGCAACAATCGGCTGTCTGGGCTCGTGTCCTACGGCGATGGCTGTGGCAAGCCCAATGTGCCCGGCGTCTACACCAATGTGTCCTACTTCCAAGGCTGGATTGTCCAGCAGAACAACTCGCTCAACTATTCGATATATCGCAATGGCGGCGCCCATAGCCAAGGCTACACAGCCCTTGCGCTGCTGTCCACCCTGTTTGTAGCTGCTGCTGGATCACTGCGAATGAGGGGGTGACTCCCACGAGACTGGGTATTATCGAGATCTTAAATAGTTGTATTAATGTAGGAAAATAAATGAATTTACTTAACGTATGGAGGGAATTTCAAGTGCACGCCACCGCAGCTAACTTTACGCTGTTGACTATCGATAGGTTGTAGCTATCGATGTAGCATCGATTCATGCGCCAGTTGCCGCGGCAGTTTGAAAAGCAAAAGTTTGTTTGTTTATATTTATTTTCGAGTTCTAGTTCAAAACAGGGAAGTTGCCGAAAGGATTTGTATGGAATTACTAACATGGACACACCATGGCAGCTGCAGATGCTCTTGCAGATGCTTATATCGTGGACATTGGCGGCCAACGGTCATCGTGAGTTTCTGTCCCTTTCCCGCTACCAACAACAACAACAACAACCCTCCCAATGCAGACAAATTCGTGATGCTGCCAAAGGTGGTGGGCGGCTACTCGATAGCTATCGAGGAGGTCCCCTTTCAGATATCGGTGCGCCGACGGGCAATGCACGAGAAGGCCTACGGCTTGGGCCTCATCTGTGGCGGGGCGCTAATCTCGCAGCGTGTGGCCTGCTCAGCGGCCCACTGCTATGCCGTGTGGGTGCACTGCCTCTGCTCATGTGTGTCCAGTCTCATCTTTACTCTCCCCATCTTGCATCTTAGGAACAACACGTACAACCCAGTGAGATACTACGATCCATCGATGTTCGTTGTGGTTGCGGGCAGCACACTGATCGACCAGGCTGACCGGCACACCAAGGAGTACTTGCTGCAGCAGATCATCGCACACAAAGCGTACAATGCCAGCACGCTGGAGAACGACATAGCGCTGCTCTTCCTCAACGGCTACGTGTCGTGGCGGTCGCGGGCCGTGCGTGCCATTCCGCTGTCCACCAAGGTGCTGACCGAGGGCACCACCTGCCTGATCAATGGCTGGGGCAAGGTCACAATGGTGCGTCATCCCTCACATCCAGTGCATATTTTCGCCTTACTGTCTCTCTCCCCCTCTTCCTAAAGGTGGGCAAATCGGCGTCGCTGCAGCAGGCGCCAGTACCCATATTGAATAAGATCCTGTGTCGCGCCATTTACATGCTGCCGGTGTCCCAGCTGTGCGCCGGCTTCATGCAGGGCGGCATCGATGCCTGCCAGGGCGACTCTGGCGGTCCCCTAATCTGCGATGGCCAACTGGCCGGCATCATCTCGTGGGGTGTAGGCTGCGCGGATCCTGGCTTTCCCGGCGTCTACACCAATGTCTCGCACTATGTCGACTGGATACGAACAATGAACGCGACTCTGGACTACTCCAAGTATTGGGTAATGGACTCTGCCGATCTGACAAGCGGTGCCCAACGCACCTGGTGGCTGGCCTTGGCATTTCTGCTTATCGTTATCGACTGTTGCGGCTTCTGATTATATCGAGTGATGAATGTTGTCCAGCAAATATAATAATAATAAAATCATCCAACTTGTGTCTATTCTGTCATTTAATAATCTAATCATCCAACTCGCATACGCACTTGTGTGTAGATTGCCCAACAATAGATAGAAACAGCAAAATCGAAATGCCAAAATGACTAAAAGTGTGACACAATAACCGTTTATAATCAGCCATAAGGACTGGAATTGGAACTGGCACTGTTAAACAAACTGGGAGTGGTATTTGAGTGCACTGCGCCCATTCAGATCAACGACCGAGCGAAAGCTTTGATGACAATGCTTGAGAGCCTCTCGAGATCTATCTTTTATTCCTTGATTCTTATCTACTGATAGATTCCAAATCAAACGATAACTGAATCATAAATGTTGCAATTGAACCGAAAACTGTTTGCACTCAGTGTAAGCATCAGCGAAACAAACGGTTATCCCTTCTCTCTCAGTTCCATGCAAAAGACGCAGCTGAGAACCATGTGTGCGAGTATGCGTGGTAGGGAGAAGAGGAGATGCCGATAATGCACACACACATATGTACTTGCTTACATGCATGTACACGCTTTTGCCGCTACTTCTTCTATTCATTCCTTTCTACGCAGTAAACTAAGCAAGTAAATATAAAATTACAAAATAAAACAGTAAGTAGCATAAACCCAAAAGTACACAAACCTCTTTCAAATTACGAAATGTCTGACTGTTTCCTGTTTCCCTCAGCTCGCAGCACTTCAGAATCTTTTACTAATAATATTCCGTATAAATTGTCCATTTGCTGTCCAGTTACGTAAACGTTAAGCATTTATTTAGCCAACACAAGTACTGGGCACACAATTCATTAACGGAAAATCTAATTGAAAATGTGACCCACTGATAATGGGGAAAAAGCTTTCCCCTGCGGCATGTGACAAGCTCTCAAGAATTCGCATTGTAATTTCCTTGCTGCCCACCCACTCTGAAGAGTGTCATAAATCTGTGGGGTAAGCCCAACAAAAAGATTGCGTTACGGGAAATCCAAAGTACTCAAGGAAATCACAAAAGACGGCGCTGGGCATGGGCATGGGCATGGGAATGCCATTTGGGGGCTCCAACTGATGACAACTGACTCCGCGGACGGCAGACTGCCACCACGTTGGGTTTGCTTTGATTAGATTATAATGTTCCGTTAGTAGTAGTAGCAACAGAGATTTATTTGACGCATTTATCAGCCTATCGATGGCCTATCGTCGTGTCGATCGGCTTCAATCCGATCCGATGTTCGGTGAGGTTCGGGCCATGTTCCGCCGTGTCCCAGACATTAGTTTGGATTGCCACGTCGGGCAGCTAGCAACGCAAAATGTTTCAGGGATCAATGCAGCTCCTGTCCATCATCATCTTCCTGCTGCCCTGGGCCCTAAATGGTACGCAAAATCCACACAGATTGGATCGCCCAACTAAGTGACAAATAATCCCGCAGGTGCCTCTGTGCCGACGGCTTACGAGGGCGGAGCGATTCGTCCGCGCTTCGATGTGGATCCGGGCAGGATTATCAACGGCACTGAGGCCACAATGGAGGCCACCAGGCATCAGGTGAGCCTGCGGAGAGCCCTCAACGATGGCTACTTCTTCGGCACGGGCCACATCTGTGGAGGATCACTGATCCGACCCAACTGGGTGCTAACCGCCGCCCATTGCTTTGTGGAGTGAGTTTGCCTCAACGAACATTCCCCTTACCACCACCACCTAATCCGCCTTTTGGGTCTCTCTCTCTCTCTCTCTCGGCAGTCAGGAGATCTACGACGGCACCTTCGTGGACAAGGAAAAGTTCATTGTGGTCATGGGCAATGTGGATCGCTTCAATCGCACCAACACGCTGACCTTTGAGATTGATTTGCTCATCCTGCAGCTGGATAAGTTCGATCTGAGCACCTACGACAGGGACATTGCCCTGCTGCGGCTGAATGACTCGGTGCCGAGCAATCATCCAACCATTCGGCCCATCGAGCTCACAGCGCTGACCGTGCCCGCGGATACCGTCTGTCAGGTGACGGGCTGGGGCACCACGGAGCTGGGCTACAATACGGACTATCTCATGACCGTCGATGTGCCCATGATCAGCGAGGAGGTGTGCATCAACGAGAGCGATCTCGGTCACCTCATCAAGCCCGGCATGGTCTGTGCCGGCTTCCTGGAGCAGGGCGAACGCGATGCCTGCAGCGGTGATTCCGGCGGCCCACTCGTCTGTCGCAGCCAGCTGGCTGGCATTGTCTCCTGGGGCATTGGCTGTGCCCAACCCCATTTGCCGGGCGTCTACACGGAGGTCTCCTACTACTACGACTGGTTACAGGAGCATATCGATGGGGAGACCGAGTCGAGTGGCCAGGGCAGCGGAGAAGAGCCTGGTGAAGGTGAAGGCAGTGGTGGAGAGCCTGGAGAAGGCAGTGGTGAAGGTGAGGGCAGTGGCGATGGCGATGGCGGTGGTGGTGCCATGGCAGTAATTGCTGGAGCAATTAGCATACTCCTGCCAGCCACACTCGCCCTCAGGTTCTCTCCCTCTCTTGTTCCTAGTTGAAAATAAAATTCTATTACTTAAAGTTAGTCTTGGGGATTGGCTTTGGATGTTCACTCAATTCCAAAAACATTCTTGAAACAATTCCTTCCCCAATGAAGCTGCTTTCGCTGCTGCTGTGGCTGGCGTTGGTTCCTGTGGCTTGGAGCCAAGCGAGAACTGGTGGTGAAATTGACACATCTGAGGACGAGAAGAATAATGACGATGGCAAGGACACTGACGGCGTTGCCTCAATCGGGCATCTGGCATCGGTGCGAAGACGGAAAATGGATCGAATCCAATTTGGTGCCGGTCATGTCTGTGCTGGCTCCCTGATCCGCGACAATGCAGTGCTGACTGCAGCCCAGTGCTTTGTGGAGTAAGTTGAATAAGTCTGATTGCTGGCAAATCCTTCTCTGTCGCTGTTGTTGTTCCAGTCGGGTGAGCGGTGATGGCCGCTTCCTGCCCATGTCCGAGTTCTTTGTGGTGCTGGGCACGCGCAATCGCTTCGAGAGCAGCCCCAACACCTTGAAATTCAATCTGAAACATCGCGTCCTCATGCAGGACATGTTCGATATGAAATTCCACGAAATGGACGTAGCGCTGCTCATCCTCAACGGCAGCGTGCCCCAGCCACATCCTGCGGTGCAGCCCATTCGGATCGCAGACCAAATCTTTGGGCAGAAAACCGACTGCCAGATGTCCGGCTGGGGCCGCGACCCAACCGGCTACAGCTCCGAGGTGCCCGTGTCCGTGCGAGTTCCCTTTATTGGAACCCGGATTTGTCACATCAAGCAGATGATGCAAGAGTTTTTCGTTCAGCCGGGCATGATCTGTGCCAAGCACTTTGGGAAGGTGAAGCGCGGCTACTGCACGGGGGATGCGGGCGGTTCGCTGGTGTGCGAGGGCCAGCTGGCGGGCATCGTGTCGTGGGGCATTAGTTGCGCCTCGCCCTACCATCCCGGCATCTACACCGACGTCCTGTACTACACCCAATGGATAAACGACAGTCTGGCCAATCCCACGCAACTCGACGACTACTTTGCGTCTGTCGATCAGCCAATTATGAGTGGGGCCATCGGAAGGAGCAGCCTCATTGTTTACCATTTCATATTTATTTTATACACGAAGTAATAATAGCGGTTTATTCGCTGCAGCCAACTTCACTTTGTACTTCTCGTGGATCTCATACCGATAGCTCCTGTATCGATAGTCTGCTCGCGGCACATGGTTGCATTCCATTGATTTATTGTGCGAAATTCAAATTAAATCTCTGGATCTTTAATAATGCTTTTAAAATCTTACAAACATATTTTGAACTAAGAAATTAAAGGATCCAGGATTCTCCCTTTTGGGCATCAGGGGCTTGGACAGAGTCGAGTCTGTCCCATGAGTAAGTTTTACGAATGTAACGTAACTACGTGTGCCTGTGGCGACACCCGACGGACGCTTTTAATTGCGAGCTTGCGCTGCTCCTCCATAGATGGAGCCACAAAAGTTCAAAGTTTTTGCCATGCGCATTTCCGTTCTTGTTTACATTTTGGCGTTAATGCTCCAACTGGAAGTGGCTTTTTGATCGACACCATCTCCTTGATCGATTGGTACTAATTCTGGGCCATATATCATACAAATCTAGCCGGGAAATGTAAGCGATAAGTGAGGTTTTCGGCAAATCCAAATCCAATCACTGATCCCTTGGTTATCTTTAGCTAAAAATAGTGTGAAAAACGAGACGCAAAACGAAACTAAATAAGAAACTAAAATAAATGGCGCAATGAATGAAAGCCAGCCCCCAGATATGACTAATCTTTATTGGGGATCGATCGGAGGGAAACGGACCTTAGCCGAGCATGCCGTACCGTACTGGACGGAGAGTCTGGCGATTGCTCTCACTCTGGAGACAAGGCGAAGGAGCCTTCGGGCTGCACTGCACTATTAGGCAATCCATGAAACAATTGGGGAGTGGCTCAAAGCCACTCCATCGATGCAATAAACTTCTTATCTATCTGCCTGCTTGTCTGTCTGTGTTTGGGTATTACAGGTCTCAAGGTTCCCGAGTGGCTGTTACAACACCATTGACGTCTGGGGTCTGCTCGTTCAGTTAATCTGAAAACCCCATCGATACCGAATCAAGTGCACTTCATCGATGTCCGTTCCCGATTAGATGGATGGACGATGTGTGTAATACCCTCCAGCAGCTTGTTGAATGGATTGTTGAATGTTCACTCACCAGAAACTCCACTTACTTCCTCCACAAATTAACATAAATTGCAAAAGAAACAAATAGAAAATGGAGCTATAAACAAATGTGATGCCTGCTGACTGCTGGCGGGCTCTACCTTATCGATGATTCCCGATGCGTGTGTTCCCGGTGCGGTGGGGGGTTTGGTGTGTGTTTTTGTTTGTTATTCGATTGCCAGTGGGGCTGATGATCGGTCGGGGCAGTCGTATGTTGCTGCTGCCTTTATCGCCACAACAAAACGAACGCTAGAAACGCAATCAAATCTCACGAAACCATAACAAAAAATTATGGAATTATCTAAGAACGCTTTTTGCGAATTTAGAAAAAGGAAATGCTCAGCTCGCGCCTCTCCACATTCGACGTTCGAAGCTACCGACAGGTGGGCGCGCGACTATTAATACGCGCGACATTAACAAATATTTAACGACAACTGTGCCACCCGTCCTGAACCCACAAACACTACGCCCAGAACCGCTCTGTTGTGTTGTTTTTTTTGTTGTTTTGTGTTAAATTTAAAACGCGTTTGACATGCAGCTGAACGAGCATTATCGCAAGATCATCAAGATCCTGATCTTTGCCTTTCTGTGCACCGAGATGCAGACGAGTAAGTGCGAGTAGTTCATGCGAGAGAGAGGATCTGGCATTAGGTTAAGGCCAACCCGCACACAGCTTGAAGCTAGTGCCAGGAAGGAGCTTAAATTGGTTACAATTATTGATTGCATCTAAGCCTAAATACGCACTCGATGAATGGCACTTAAATAATCATTAGCATGACCAAAACAGGCAGCAGTCTGTGGCAAATTGATCAATTGGCTGCGAGTTCATGGCGTGTTTAGCCGAGCTTCCGCTCTTGTCATATCATACGCTGGTTGGACAGGTGGGAGTGGATGTTTCTGTGTGTGTGGCCTGATCGTGCCGTTGACCATTCAACGCCGCTTGCCCCGCTGATAACGTTGATAAGAGGGGAATCCGTTCCCCTGCGCTGCCAACTGCATTTGCCAGTGACTGACCGACCGACCGACCGACTGTTTCCAAGGGGAATCCGAATCCGTTGCTTATCACATTCTCCCCGTTAACCTTCACCGCGAATCGAATTAACTTTTTGCAGCATTCACGCATCGCGATTTGGCCAAGAAGCGCAGCATTGGCATGGCCCCAACCGCTGGAGCACTGACAGAGGGCAGAAGTGGCGCCGCTTGGTCCCCGATGGCCTCCTACCAGGCCTCGATTCGTCTGCTCGACCAGGAACGGGACTACTTTGGCAAGGGACACATCTGCTCGGGTGCCTTGGTGGCGCCCTCAGTGGTGCTCACAGTCAGCAGCTGCCTCTACAGGTGAGTGGCGAGGAGTCTCTACGCCGAGGAGCGGAACTTCAACTCCAACTCCAACTCAATCTCCGTCTCAATCTTCACTTGTAGCCATGGTCGCAGGAGCTACTATCATCCAGCGGAGCTGCGCGTCATGCTCGGCAATCCTAAGCGCTTTGCACCCAACGATCTGGGGCTCATCCTGGGCGTCACTCATGTCCACAAGCCGCCCAAGGAACTGGCCCTGGCCATACTCATGCTGGAGCGTGATGTGCCACTGGATCATCCACAGATCCAGCCCGTGCTGCTGCCCCACCCAGAGCAGCCATCCAGCTCGCTGTCGGACTCTTCGCTGCAGATCAGCACTTGGGGCTACGAAGGCCACAGCCGCGAGCTGCACGATCTCCTCACACTGAACGCCACACAGATGTCCTGCCAGCAGGCACAGCCACAGCCACAGCCACAGCAAAGAATCTGCGTGCAAGCGGAGGGTCTGGGACAGCTCTACATGGATGCGGGTGCCACGCTCACGGAGCGCAATCAATTGCTGGGCCTGCGCAGTGCCGATGCCGATGGTGATGCTGATGCTGATGGTGCTGGTGCTGGCTTTGTGGATGTGGCCAGCCATGTGGAGTGGATCCTGACACAAATAGGCGATGGCTCCAATCAGAACAGCTCCTTCTGGGGCGTGCTCCTCGTGCTTGTGTTCACGGTCTACGTGCTGACGGTGAGCCGCAAGTCGCTGATGGCTTAGCTCTGGGTTTCAACATTTATTCTGCCCAGAACCTAGACATGGATGAACGTGGGGAATGTGATAATCTCGTAGTGCTCGTAGGAATCTGTACAGAACATAACATAATAATTAACAAATAAACAAGTAACAAACAACAACTAATCCAGCAAAGCTCTGACCAGTGTGCACTCTCCCGCTGCAGCTCCACAGAGCAGCATTAGAGGTGCCTCCTGCTGCTGCAACTCCTCGCCGGAGCGCACCAGCGGCAGGGCCCACTGCTGGCCGTCTCCTTTGTGGCCGTAGGAGTGCTGCAGCCAGCCGCCCACCTGGCCATAGCTGAACAAGTAGAAGGGCTTCGCCTCTGGCTGTGTGAGCACCAGCAGATACCGCTCCCCGCCCACGCTCAGCGGAATCATTTGCTGGATGGGCTCCTGGAAGCGCAACTGCTGCTGCGGCACAAAGCGCGCACCATCCTCCTCCTGCACGAAGATGGCTATGTGGCGACATCCGCGACAGCTGAGCATTAGCTGATCCTCCTGGTACTCCGCCAGATCGTAGTCACCGCCGATGAGCTGCTCAAGCAGAAACCGCTCACTGCGTGGATCCCTCACGTGTATGGAGAGTGCCGGACGATGCCTGTGCACTCCACTGGCCAGCAGCAGCTCCTGCTGCTTGGGTTTCCCCGTGAGTACGACCTTCATCAGGCGGCCATCCACCGAGTCCAGGGACTGCCAGTCGGTGAGGCTGCAATTGCTCGTGCTCAGCCGCAGAATGCGCACTTCGATGCCACTGCCCAGCAGAATCAATCCACCCTCATCGAGCATCTCCAGTTGCTCCACGGGCTGGCGCATGCCCAAGGCAAACGACTCGTTCCTGCACTCGATTTTGATGGTGCTGCGGAGCCGCTTCACCGGTCGCTGGCAGTGATTCTGCACCTTGACGCGTACGTGCCCAGCGTTGAGACGGAGCAGCTCTCGGGACAGGCTGACGTTGCTCAGGTGGATCCTCGCTGGCTGCAACTGGAGCTGGGCTCTCAGCTGGCGGCTCTGGCAGATGTCGGCCGACTGCTGCCCGAGGCTGAGGCTGCCCTGAAGGTCAAAGGATTCATTGGCTGCTGCTGCCGCCTGCGACCAGATCGCCTTGAACGGCTGCTGGTCGTAGTCCAGGTAGAGTAGTCGTCGAGGCTTTTGCTTGCTCTTTTCCAGCAGGTCCTCCAGCGCGTCCAGTGGGGCCTCGAGGTCTCCCGCGCCAGCGGCTTCACGTAGCAGATAATCCGAGGGAGGGGCGGGCGGTGGCCTCTCGTCCACATAGACAAGTCCGGCCGGAAAGTGCGCCTCATCCAGCCACAGGCTGTCAATGTTGTAGTCGCGATCCCTGAAGATGCTCTGCCGATAGCTCTCGCTGAGATCCCTGCCATTGAGGCTCATCACATGCGCGGGTCCCGCGAACTCCACGCCGCCCGCAAAGCTCTTGCTGCCGCCAAACGACTGCAGTCGCGGGCTGTGCCGATAGACGACATCCTCCAGCCCAATGCCGTTGATCGAACGCAGCAGCGGCCTGCCCTCGAGGATCAGCCGCTCGAAGCTCAGGCCACCAAACACCTCCATGGTGGGGCCGCGCAGCGGCACGCGATGCTCGAAAAAGTAGTCCAAGCTCATCTCATTGACGCTGCCCAGCCGCAGGTCCTGCTCCACGCGCAGCTGCCTGAAGCTGGCCCGGGGCCAGGGCTTGTCGCCGCTCTGCACAAAGATGCCCGCGACAGGCGCACCGTTCACCAGGCCCTGCTGCCCCAGCGCCAGTCTGCCCAGCCGCGGTGGCGTGGCAAAGCGCAGCTCCGCGCGTATGGCTCCACCTTGGGACAGGCGGTAGAGGGAGGCGTTCAGGCGCTCCAAATCGATGCCGTTCAGCCGCCCAAAGTGTCCATCGCCTGCCAGGTCCAAGCACTTCGCCCACACGGCACCCAGCAGCAGCTGCGGCGCCTCCACCAGCTGACTCTCGTTGCTGGCCGTCCATCGGAGCAGGGCATCGGCCGCCAGGTGTGTGAAGTTGAGCTCCGCCAGCAGCGGCTGCTCCTGCCTCGTGTGCAGCCTCTCCAGGCGAGGTTGCCGCAAAAGCACGGGTCCGGCAATCGTCTGGTTGCCCTCTCGCCTCACTGCATGCTGCCGCAGGTAGCTAAGATGTCCATCAGGCTCCTGCTCCTCCCAGAGGGCATCGCCTGTTACAACCACGCGGCGCCACGGCTGCTGCCAGAGTGCCGCCAGTCTAGTGTCCAGCTCGTGCAGTCCTGCCGCCACATCCTTGGGGCACCTGAGACTCCCATTGACACTTAGCTGGGCCACGGTGAGATCTCCCCGCAGCAGCAGCTCCTCCTGCCGCGTGTCCATAAAGAGCTGGGCGGGCACATCGTTCAGCAGGGGCACATCCACATTGCTGGCCCTCATTCGCTGGAAGCTGTAGGCTCCCGTGATGGCCTGCGGCGTGGTCCGGAGCAGCGTGTTGTCCAGCTGGCTGCTCACGTCCAGGCCATTGATGTGCGGCGACTGCAGGGCGTCGGTCAGTTGAACGGGTGCCAGGAAGGTCTTGCGGCCAGCCAGCACGGCGTTGGCATCGGGACGTACCAGACGGGAGAGATAATCCTCCCACTGGATGCCATTCACCTCCCGCAGCTGGAGTCCCCGCTCGAAGCGGACATTTCCCTCGATGAGGAGCTGCTTGTGGAGCAGCAGCTGCGGTCCAGACCCAGCCTCGCTGCCCGCCGAAAGTTCGCCCAGCAGCTCGTCAAAGGCCAGACCGTTGAGGCGTCGGAAGTGGAGGCTCTGCAGCTGCACTGGCTCCAGCTCGAGCCGCTGCAGGCTGAGGGCGTGGCCCAGCAACTGGTCGAGTGCCAGTCCATTGAGGCGACTCACATTCAGGTTCCTGCGAATCTCCATGTCCTTGCCAATGACCAAACGCTGGAATCTCTTGGCTCCGGTGAAGTTCTGCACGGACTGAGACTTGAGCATCAGCTCTGCCACAGGCACGCCGTTCAGCTGTTGGCTGAGCAGCGTCTGCACGGTGAGGGGTGCGCTGAAGTGCTTGTGGCCCGTAATATTCGCCAACTGGCCGTGACGCACCGCCTCCTGGGCGATCAAGGCCAGGCGGGAGGTGTAGTCGCGACAGACAATGTCGCCCTCGATGCTCACGTTCATGAAGATGATGTGCACGGTGCGGTTGCTCCACGCCTGACCCATCTGGCTGCCCCTGGTCAGCAGATGCTCCGCCACTGGGTGGCCCTGTATGTGGCTGGTGGCCAGCGAGGGTGTCGTCACTTTGGCATTGCCAAATCTCAGCTGGCTGACATTCTGCGCACCGTGGGCGAGCAGGTAGTGCGAGTGGAGATCCTTCTTGAGCAGCGATTGGCCCGTGGCCAGCTGTAGGCGCGTCCGCGGCGTATCCCTCTTCACATTATTCAGCGTCAGGGAGCCCTTGATGGTCACCCTGCCCGTGTAGTACTGCTGCAGGCGATGGCTGTCCGGCTGCATCTGTCTGCTGCTGTCTCTCGGCTGCTTGCCCACCAGGATATCCCCCGAGACGCTCATCTGATTGATGCGCACAGGCGCTGCAGTAGAGACAATGATTGAAAAGTTGAGTCAAATAGCATTGGGCATCCACTCACTCTTTATCCACGTTGTGTTGCCGCCACGAAAGACTATGTCCCGGGCAAAGTCCAGGCCATTCACGCGCCCCGCCTCCAGGCGGGACACATAGAAGGCGGACATGACCAAATTGGAGCTAATCACCTGATGGCGACGCAGATTGAACAGCTGTGCCACCACCAGGCCATTGAGCAGTGTCGCCTGCAGGTTTACCACACGCGACCGCGACTGAAAGATGACGCGTCCCTCCAGCTGATCATCGCGGGAACGCAGGAACAGCGAGTCGTAGAACTCGAACCAGGACACACCATTGATGCGATCCACAAGCAAATGGCGCACCCACAAATCCGCCCTGGATTTGGTTCCATTCGATAGGGCAACCGTTTGCTGGCCATTCTGGTAGTCCCGCGGCGTGAGCAGCTGCTCTGTGTGCAACGCTTTGGTCCGCAAGGGCTCCCTGATGGTCAACAGAGACGCGTCCAATGTGTGACCTATAGAGGAACGGATGGAAAAAAGCCTTAACAGAAGCGATTGCCGTGGCACTTACCTGGCAGCAACTGGCCCTTGTAGAGGAGATTCTTGACTTTTAATCGCTTCGCCTTCAGCAGCTCAATGGCATCGCTGGCATTGCCCGCCCCAAAGGAACGCGGCACACGGCTACGACTATGGCGCATGGGTTTTGCTACGAATTGTTCACGCAGCTCCTCCAGACGCTGCTTAAGCTGTGTGGGACTAAGCAGGTGACTGCCCTGCAGCTGTAGCCTTTGGATGCGTCCTTTTGCCATCAAGTGAAAGGGTTTCTGCATGTGGATCGATGAGTGATGTTGGAGCAGCTTCTGCCAGCGACTTAGCTCTTCCATGGAAGCTTTGCGACGCAACAGAAGGCCCCTTAGGCTCGATAGGGTATCCTCGAACTCGTGGCGATGCAGCTGCACGACACTCAAGTCTTCTCCACCCACTTGGTTGCTGCTCGCCTGCCGCTCCTGCCCCTGCTGCTGCTGCTGCTGCTGCAGTTGCGGATCTCCACCTAGCTGCACCATGCGCACCAGATCGCTCGACGATCGACGGTAGGCCAGCAACAGGAAGCTCTCGTTCAGCGCGTTGTGATGGCTAAGCAAGCCGCTCGGTTGCACATTCCCATCCCCACGCATAACAAATCCATTGTAGCAGTCCAGCCGCGGGCTATTGAAGACGAGCACTTCGCCGTTGGAGCGTGCGCCAATCAGGAGACGACCCTGCTGGGCCACCGCCAGGCGGGAGAAGTACAAATCCCGCTGCACGTGCTTGCGGTACACCACAAACTGTCCCTCGACCATGCGGAAGAACAGGCAGGCAGGGGAGGCAACACCAGCACTGGCAGTCGCATTGGAGGTGCAAGCGATGAAGCAATTGCGTTCGCGAAAACGGAATGCCAGCACATGCCGGGCCTGAGTGGTCAGGGTCTGACGTGTTCGCAGGCGCATTGAGGCCGAGTCCAGCTCGAAGACGGTGAGCACCAACTGGAAATGGAAATGGTTTACTGACAGTCAATGGGTTTTGTTCGACACTCACCTTGGAATGGGAGCCGCGCAGGGAACGGCCGGTGAGGATGTACAGGGGCTGTTGCCCCACCAGCTGGAGCGTGCGGATGGCGGGCAGGACTAAATCTTCCACGGGATTGAAGTACGTGTCCAGCCACTCGAAGGTTCTGCAACAAGATGATTAGGGGAAAATTCATTACTGAGGGCGTTTTGTTGGTATCTCTGGAGCACTCACTGAATCCGCCCTTGGGATTTCGTGTAGTTGGAAGCCAGCAGCAGCAGCACCTTCTCCGGAGCCGGATGCCTGAGTAGGTGCATCTGCTGGAAGCCTTGTGACAGCGAGAACTCCTGAATGGGCTCAAAGCTCAGCTGTGTGCCATCGGCCATGAGCTGCTCCTTGGGCAGCTGGTAAACTTCCAGTGTCTCGGGCAGCATGATGGCCAGCAGCAGGAACTGGCGCCAGGCCACCACCTCGGCGCCTAGAGAGGCAGCGGGCATCGCCCGCACGCGTCCAGCCAGCTCACCCAGGCGCACCAGACGCTTGTCCCCGCTGGCCACGTGCAGCTGAAAGAGCTCGTGACCGTGCAGCACCAGCAGCACATCCTCGATGGGTTCGCGCAGCAGATAGAGCGGATGCTCGTGGCGCAGCTCCATGTCCATAAACGGCAGACGGATCTCCACGCTGCCATTCACAGTGCCGCGACACGCACTGGGAAGCAACGAGGAAGCCCCAGCACCAGCAGCATCTCCATGAACGTTCACTGAGAGCGGTGGAGGAGCGGCGCCATTCACCGGAAAAACTAGAAAAACACTCACAAAAACTAAGCACACGCCAGGTGCGAACATATTTCACATGAGATCTGATCAATGATCCCGAAAACACATACGAATGGACTACAAAAATGCAAATTACTTTTACTTTGCTCCCCTCTTTTCGGTCTGTTCTGCCGTCCGCATAACAGTTAATATGCTTGCCGCAGCTTCTCGAATGAGAGAAAGAGACTACTAGTGTGCTGGCAGCTTGGTTTCCATGGTATTCGCGAAACAGTTACTTGACGTTTGTAAAAGAATGCGTACGGTGGGTGTCTTAATGAGAAAAGTGAAATAAACTAAATGTGTTACTTACCATTGGAATTATCAGATCAATAATTCCGTACAGCCTGAACGTATACTATGGGAAGCAATCGGAATGTATATTTATGTGGGTATGTACATATGTAATTAAATGTATTTATATTTTTAGCCAATATTCCCATATGAACAATCAATCTCTCTCTCCGCTCTTTCTCTCTCTCTCTCTCTTTTTGGCCCATGGCTGCCTGAAGTGACACCTTTGGTTTAGGACTTGGGTCCAAAAATAACGCAGACAAACTTGGTGGAGTGCCTTAGACGGGGGCTGCTGAATCAATCAGCTTCGATCATTAGTCGAGGTCATTAAAGACATTATATGGGGAGCACCACTCCTGCCACTCCTCCATCCCACTGTGTCCATTGATAGAAAGAGATGAGAAAAGCATTTAACACGAAAGAGCGAAGGCAGAGGGAGGCATAAAAATACATTTGTATTGGCCATGGGTATCTGTGAAGGGGAGTGCGATGTAGGGTAGGAGTCAGGGTAGGCTTATCCCAATATGGGCAGGTCTTAGTATTCCTGGTAGAATTTACGGAATCATCCATAAATCTGCAGCCTTAACCTTAAAGGTGGCAACATTTGTACTCTCTGTTGGAATGAAATTTACGGGGGCCAAGGAAATTTATTGAAAAACCATATCCGTGTCAATAACCTCGAAGAAAGCTTTTTGTGCGTGCCATCTGCTGTGGAGGAATTCGCTTTTAATATTTACTGATTGATCGGCGACACACATTTTGGAAGATGCTGTAAACAGTGCTAGCCACTGCACTCACGCGAGCATAACAACCTACATTGTATAACTGTAACTGTAACTGCAACTGTTGCGTCTATGAGGTAGCGTAAAGTTACGAAAAGTAACTCTTAATGGAACAGGCGGCAGCAGAGCAGAGCAGATGTTTCCTTTCTGTTTCTTGTTCTGCTTCCTAATCCGCTCGCGTGCTGTCCAATTTTGGGCCTGTTTGTGTCTCCCTCTGCCCATTTACGCCGCTTCGTGACTAATTAGCAAATTTTGCGACATCGGTTTTGACCGGCGCAGCGCGCATACACAAAAAGGTCATTCGTGGACAGTAGGGGCCAAACCCAGGCCCATTTTCATCACCCATAATCATCACCATCATCAGCTGATTGTCATGCACTTCCATCATAACACCAACGAATGGATAAAAGGAGGGAGGGTTTAGAGTGGCAGGCACTGATTTGAGTGCTTTTCCCCAATGGCCAGCTCTCATGCAAACGCCACGAATGTACGTTTCCTCTCCTGCAACTCCACCAAAAACTGAAGCAACAACAACACCAATGCACATGTGAGAGCGTTCAGTACTTGGTAAACGAGGCAGAAGCTATTGAGAGGCGTTTGTATTGAATGAAATGTTAATAATGCAAGTTTTGTTAAATTTAACTTATACCAGTATCGTTTTAAGTTTTGTATTATAAAAACTTAAATTTCTCGCAAAGGGGTCGGAGCTTCTGCTCTCTAGTTTAGACGGGGCTCAAGTGTGAGTGAGTCAGCGGCCGCGCTCACCACTTACGCACAAGAGAGCGCAAAAACATTCTTAAGGCCTGTCTAAACTGACTGGCTGCCGACAGTATTCGTATCAGTGTGCTGTTAAGCTTGGCAAGCAACAGACTTGGCAGTAGGAAGCACTGACAATGATTTTATTCAACTTTGAAAAATATTTTGATTTTTAATGCATGATTTGTGTTACATAGTTTCGTTGCGGCAAAGTCCAATTACATTTCTGAACCACACCGTCACTGTGCGTTACCAGGCCGCTGCAGCCGCCCCGTTTAGACAGACCTTCAGAGAGAGAGCATGCGCCTGCGCTGCGTATAGATAGCGAGAGAGAGGGAGCGAGAGCTGGCGCAAGATCGCATTTTCGCTTTGTTGCTGCCTCCTCCATTCGTTCCTCGACCATTCAAAAATGTGCGCGCATCGCGGTGTGTTCTGTGTTCTGTCTCTGTCGTCTGCCTCGAATGGAATTTCGAAATTTGAATTGAAATTGAATTAAAAATCGAACCGCGCGCTTTTCCCCCCGCCTGCCCCAGCACCGTCGCCCATTTCGAGTGTGCTCTGAATTTTTCATTACATTTTTTTTGCTGTTTTGCAACGGTTTTTGTGTGAAAATGTTTTTGAATCTTGTGCAGATTCGGTTCTGCCAGGGCAGACGGTTCTTGGATGGTATTCTGACATCCTAGGCAGCACCTTAAAATCCCACAAAGAGAGATTTAAATACCCCAAATACTGGTCGCGGTCAGAACTGATCAGAAAATAATGAAATTGTGGAAATCAAAGAAGCCCATCGGGGGCTGCGTGCCCGGCAAGTCCTCGGCCCTCAAGCAGGAGCAGGAGCTCCATCATCATCATCATCCGCATCCACATACACATCCGCAACAACTGCAGCAGCTTCCGCAGTCCGAGAGCAACGGTATTGCATTGGCGCCCATGTTATCCGGTAAGTATTTCCTATTTCTATATTTTCCGCCTTGCCCCTCCTATTTTCCAATTTGAATGGAACATCTTTTTCCCTCTAAGCATGTGCGTTCCCATTTTCCGATTTCCTTCTGGGGCCCCGTCCCCGCCACCCGCTTCCTCACCCATTCAGGGTTATCGCATTTCCGCTCAAGGTGGGCACGGACGGCCGCGGCGGCCCTCAAAGTGCTCGTCTTTAGCTTTTCTTCTTTTTATTTTGTTTTTGTTGTTGTTGTATCCAAGTATCCAAGTGTTCAAGTATCTTTGTATCTGTATCTGTGTAGAAGCTTCTTGTTTGACAGTTTCAATTAAAAGTAATTGCTCGCTTTCCGTTTCCATTTTCATTCTCATTTTCCAACTGTTTTGTGAGACGGTGATATATCTGATCTGAAGACCCCCACAAAAAGATTTATTTGCCAGCGGATCGGTTACTCGAGAAACAAGTGTTGCAGGAAATGGAATGTTGCAGATCGATCGTCTAGTTTCCAATATTAATCACATTTATGGATTGATAGAAAGCATTCCAATATTTTAGGAAACAGTTTTGTCTTCCTTTGAGATGGATATAGAGAACATTCCGTAGAAATGGTTGACCATCTCCGATCTATGGGATTAAAGATCCAAGAAAAAGCCGCCATCGAAAGGGATCGCTAAGGGGAGTGGAGAGTTATGGCCCACAAGAAAACAGCTTAAGCATCGCCACTCTTCAAGTTGCAATTGCACAAGAGAGAGAGAGAGAGAGAGGATACACAAGTATCTGTGTATACGAGCGAGACTGTATCTGTGTATATTTTGGTGGGGTCGGGGGGTATCTGTGTGGCTGCGTCGTGTGCGCGGTCTTAAATTGCATTTGATGAATTTATGGCATGGCAGGCGCAATTAAGCATTTAATTAAATATTTCTGATGCGCTACGCATTGTTGTTGCCCGCTCCCCTGCCTCATGCCTCCTCCTGACCCACACCCCTACCACAGCGCTTTGGTCTTCATATTCCTGCGCGGAATGCTGCTGCTGCTGCTGCTGCTGCAGATTGTGTTGATAAGGCGCCAGACACTGGCGATTGATTGTACCACGAAAACGGAAAAAAAAGGCATAGACACAAAGCCAAAGAAAAGCTAGAGATGCAGGCATAGATATAAAAGCCAAAATGTACATACAATATGTAGCATATAACCAAAGGAAAGCTGAAGATACATAGCTAAATAAGCAGATGTGTACAAACATGGCAAAAATAGATAAGTACAGGGTACAGGAGCTTGATACATGTGTATAAACGAAACTAGTAAATGAAGATAAATCTACCATCCACCAGTAAATAAGAATTTAGTCGGACATTTTGGCTAGCAAGAAAATCCGCAATAAGCAAAAATTCAGTATAAAAGTAAAAGATTTTAGCTTTGAATTTAATTTGTTTCCATCAGATATAGAATACTTTATCCATAAACATATTTACATTTATGTGCATACTGTATTGTATGGATATGTACAAATCCAAGCCCAAAGCATAGGCGGTAGCGCACTGCACTCTTCATCCGTCAAACTTCGCTGTCAGCGTCAGCGCCATGGCTGGTGGCGAGAGAGGGGGCACGCCAACGACCAGATGTCACTTGTTTACACAGACAACAACTCCACCAACAACAACAGCAAATACAGAAACAACAATCACTCAAAGCGATTGATTCCGGAATCGAAGAGCAAACACACACACACACATGGTGTGGCCTGGGCCCGAGCGAAAGGTGTGTGCAATGTACCGAAAATGCAGCCGAAGAGAAGCCGCAGCGCTGGAGCCAAAAATCAAGCATAGAAGAGGGCCAACAGATGACACTGAAATGCCACCACCGCACCGGCCACCCCCTACCCCCCGCAGAACACACCCGCACTCCACACACTGCACTCCACTCTCCTTTTTTATGGCTTGTTCTTGTCGCTGGCTCGCCATTAAATGCTCATAAAATCAACGACAAAACATTTGAGATACATACGCGTACATGCTCCTCGTACATCATAAAAAATGAATAAAGACAACATCGATAGTAAGGGTTTACGAGTGTTGGGGAGGGGGTTGAGCGATTGATAGTATAAATGTTTAGGGGAAAGAACAGTCAACAGATTTCTAAATGATAGCGAGGGGATAAATATGTACACCTCGTCCCTCCATCTTTAGATCAAAATTCTAGACTGATCCTTCTGACTGGCTGCAAAGTCTCTGATAAACTAAAACTGAAACAATTTACAATAAATACCAATCTCATAAAATAATGCGATAAAATCTATGGAATTTGGATGGTCATTAGCCAATGACAGCGACAGAATTAGAAAAACATCAAAAGTGGAACTGGAAAATGTCAAATGAAAAATTCGTTGTTCTGTTTA